GCTGTGACCGGCGTCTCTTCACACCTGGTCGTGTGAACAGGCTCGCACGTGACTCCCCTCGCACCGCTGTGACCGGCGTCTCTTCACACTTGGTCGTGTGAACAGGCTCGCACGTGACTCCCCTCGCACCGCTGTGACCGGCGTCTCTTCACACCTGGTCGTGTGAACAGGCTCGCACGTGACTCCCCTCGCACCGCTGTGACCGGCGTCTCTTCACACCTGGTCGTGTGAACAGGCTCGCACGTGACTCCCCTCGCACCGCTGTGACCGGCGTCTCTTCACAGCTGGTCGTGTGAACAGGCTCGCACGTGACTCCCCTCGCACCGCTGTGACCGGCGTCTCTTCACAGCTGGTCGTGTGAACAGGCTCGCACGTGACTCCCCTCGCACCGCTGTGACCGGCGTCTCTTCACAGCTGGTCGTGTGAACAGGCTCGCACGTGACTCCCCTCGCACCGCTGTGACCGGCGTCTCTTCACACCTGGTCGTGTGAACAGGCTCGCACGTGACTCCCCTCGCACCGCTGTGACCGGCGTCTCTTCACAGCTGGTCGTGTGAACAGGCTCGCACGTGACTCCCCTCGCACCGCTGTGACCGGCGTCTCTTCACACCTGGTCGTGTGAACAGGCTCGCACGTGACTCCCCTCGCACCGCTGTGACCGGCGTCTCTTCACACCTGGTCGTGTGAACAGGCTCGCACGTGACTCCCCTCGCACCGCTGTGACCGGCGTCTCTTCACACCTGGTCGTGTGAACAGGCTCGCACGTGACTCCCCTCGCACCGCTGTGACCGGCGTCTCTTCACACCTGGTCGTGTGAACAGGCTCGCACGTGACTCCCCTCGCACCGCTGTGACCGGCGTCTCTTCACAGCTGGTCGTGTGAACAGGCTCGCACGTGACTCCCCTCGCACCGCTGTGACCGGCGTCTCTTCACAGCTGGTCGTGTGAACAGGCTCGCACGTGACTCCCCTCGCACCGCTGTGACCGGCGTCTCTTCACACCTGGTCGTGTGAACAGGCTCGCACGTGACTCCCCTCGCACCGCTGTGACCGGCGTCTCTTCACACCTGGTCGTGTGAACAGGCTCGCACGTGACTCCCCTCGCACCGCTGTGACCGGCGTCTCTTCACAGCTGGTCGTGTGAACAGGCTCGCACGTGACTCCCCTCGCACCGCTGTGACCGGCGTCTCTTCACAGCTGGTCGTGTGAACAGGCTCGCACGTGACTCCCCTCGCACCGCTGTGACCGGCGTCTCTTCACACCTGGTCGTGTGAACAGGCTCGCACGTGACTCCCCTCGCACCGCTGTGACCGGCGTCTCTTCACACCTGGTCGTGTGAACAGGCTCGCACGTGACTCCCCTCGCACCGCTGTGACCGGCGTCTCTTCACACCTGGTCGTGTGAACAGGCTCGCACGTGACTCCCCTCGCACCGCTGTGACCGGCGTCTCTTCACAGCTGGTCGTGTGAACAGGCTCGCACGTGACTCCCCTCGCACCGCTGTGACCGGCGTCTCTTCACAGCTGGTCGTGTGAACAGGCTCGCACGTGACTCCCCTCGCACCACTCTGACCGGCGTCTCTTCACACCTGGTCGTGTGAACAGGCTCGCACGTGACTCCCCTCGCACCGCTGTGACCGG